ACAATATTAAATGCAGGTGGGGATGTTTAATTGGACATCAAAGTGTTAATAAATATTATTTGCTTAAGTCAGTTTTGATACCTATTAATATATTTTTTGTTATGGTGTGTCTAATGATTCCTATGTAGATAAAGCATACTGTACTATTAATATAATAATTTTGTTATATTCTTTTCATGAAGACATTAACATAAAATTAAGCCTGAATTACTTAGTCTAAGCACAGTCACTGAAGGCACATCTCCCACCCCAAAAAAACTGAATTGATTCAATTTGTGTAGTAATTGTTCTTGGTAGACAGTAGTAAATGGTTGCTATATAATTGTGGATGGCTATTCTTGATTTGTCTTCATGGTCAGTTGTTTATGCTGGGTCGATTCATTACCAACATTATTGTCTCAATATGCTTATTACAATATAACATCATTGTATTTGATTCACAATACAGTACTCTGTGGTTATTTTGCTGTCGATAGTACCCCAGTTTGAGGAAAAGGCAGGGCTTCCTGTCTGCGTGTGTGGTGTGATAGAGAGACGCTTAGTGCTTCTCAAAAGTAAAACATACCATACCATTTTTAACGTTATATGTAACCACACACGTACCTTTAAACAGACTCGGTGCAATTTTGACTTTTTGGAGTGTGTTGTTTACTATTTACATTGGACAAACGGCATAGAAGGTAGTTTGTGATTGGCTGAGGGCCTTGCAGCTAAGCCAAACTTCATTGTTAGTCGTCTTCTGATTGGCTATAGTTACGTAGCAACCTTTGATATAAATTCTCATTTTTGGTTACAGTTTCCCCAAATTCACAATTGCCGACAATCAAATTATGTTACAATTTAACAATATTGACATTTTTGTGCAAAAGCCAGGTAGCCCGGATTGGTGGGTCACAGAATTGAACGTTTTCAATCCTCAACCCACGGTCTACTACCTTTTTAATCCTATTTGATTTTTTAAATCAAATTGGAAAACAAAATGTCAAATATTCTACCATTTCAAGTGTACTTCATCCTACAATCAATATTTACCTTTCTTGCCAGTCCCCAATGACTTTATAATGTGGGGTTTTTATATAGTTATATACTTTAGATCTGCTATTCTTTTTGCCTGGTTAGTTTTTTGCCTTTGTTTACTTAACCACATATGCACATCTTAATTTTCTCGTTTGGATTTAATGTTTCATATTCTTAATACTTGAAAATAAACTGCAACTCTCTTTAAATGTGATTTCTTTGTTCTTTTTAATGCTCTTTCCTTTTTATTGCAGCATAAAAAGCTGCAACATTTGAACATTACTTCTTTTCCAGGTTTTTTTTTTTTCTTGGGCCCTTTAATTGTGCAGTCATTCGGAAATTCTTTTTAAAATAAATTTAATTGAGTGTTGGCAATACAGAAATTGTTCGTTTCATTGTTTCTATACATTCAGGTGTATGCAAAGAATATGGTTGCAGCTCATTTGAATCGATGGAGCTATACATACTCATACTGAAGAACATGACATTGTTTTTTACATAGGGATTTTTGTTTTTTTGCATACTGATATATATAAGATTTGTCAAAATAACAAATTTTTTAGTTGAATATCCTTTTGAAGATCCAGGAAAATGTTTTCCTACTTTCCCACAATGAACCTCAATAAGAAAATAAGGTCAATGATCTTTTTCTGCGTCATTTTATTTCCACCATACTTTGGAACATTACCTGTTAAAATAAAGGTCTTTCCAGAAAAAAAAAAAATGTTTGTGTTTCATTTGATTTAGTTATGTCTACTAATTGTCACAGACAAACCAAGTTCTTCGAAACATCTTTAAATTTTGGATGCAGCAACATGCCTTGCAACATAATTTAATAAAAATTTTTTTGCATTATGGTCGTCGCCTTGAATTATGTCATAATAGACCCATCTCCACATAGTGCTGAACTGAGCATAATTAGGATTGAAATTGTTCTTTCCGCCATTTCTAGTTGTGTGGTGATAGTAAAAGCAATTTCTATCATAATGGTTGTGTTCTCCACCCTCAATTAAAAACCTAAATAAAGGGATACTGACTTACATGAAGTGTTGCCCATAGTCAATAAACTTCATCACGTAGGGTGTTAAATTTTTCCAGTGATATCGGAGGGATGTGAGCTGGTAAAGTCTTTCAGCATGAAACTTATAAATGTGCTTTTGTTCTGCTGAGTATTCCCAATTATAATCAGATGCCCTAAGAGATCCAGCAGCACAACCATCTTTAATATGAGGTCCAGGTTCCTTTTTGTACTATTTTGAACATTGCATACAAGCTTTACCAAATCATTTTTACACACTTAAATTCAGTTAAGAGTTTTTCGGCAAATCTTGAAAACCAGTGCAGTATTCAATGCATTACACGACTTAGTGGGATGAATGGAAATAATGAATTATGGTACTTATGGTAGATGTTCCAACCTCTTTCTGTATAAGTGGTCCAAGAACAGATGTACCATCTAGGATGCCTTGAATGAACATCTCATCGCCACTTAAATAAAATTTAATGTTTGATGGAGCCTGAGTGAGCCTATCCATAAATTTAAATTTTGATTTAAATTATCCCTGCTGTCGCTTTCATAAAATAATGCTATGGGATATATTTCTTTGGGATTTTGAAAAGACATGCCGTGTAAATTAATTTCATGATTTAGGAATGATAGTCCTACATATGTCACAATGCGACCACCTATTTTGGCTGCATCCCCTTGAATTTTGATATTCAAATTGTTCTCCAAGAAAGGGTATCTGAACAGTAACATTTTTATTAATCGCACAGGGTCAATATACTATCCTGTTGATGTTCTGGAGGGTATAAAACTGCTCTAAATTCATTATTTAGCGTTTCAGTGGATTATATCTTCAACAGTCAGGGGATTAATCATTTTATAGATGTTAATTACTGTGTCTTAACCTACTTTCGCTCCTCTTTTCGACTTATTATTTGCATTTAACAGTGGTGATGTGTTAATCTGATCTTTTTGTATAATCATGTTTGTCAAGTTTTCCAGTACATTTTGTTTGTATTAGTACCTTCATTTGAATTGACTTTCGAAGTTTGTGGGTGTAATTTTTTTTCAGTGTGATATGGTAAGTTAATGGTCGACGGTGGTACACCTACTATAAACATATAAAATCAACATATCTTTTATGAAAATAACACTGAATAGAAAAGGCTTATATAAAGGCTTCATTATAATTTCATAAGTAATTGTTGCTATTATTTTAAGTTTAAAGATGGTTTTTAATTATAAATTACAAGCACCATTATATATTTTTAAAAAAAAGCTAAATTTGTCAAATAAACCCCAACACACAAAAACAAATTCTTATTTTTTATTATTAATAGAAAGTGCTAAAAAAATCAAAATGAATCATCCTGGTATAAATAAGTATTCTAAAGAAATTTATGCAACAAATAATAAGTATGAATACTTTTAGAAAAAGACATACTTTCATAAGACTAATAATGCAACAAAGCAAAGTTAATACTAATCAATAAAATATTGATTTAAATTGATGTCACTGCTAAATTGTGTTTTCAGCATGTTTTTGTTTTTCTATAAGTGAGGCTATTCCAAGGGATTTGAGGTAGATTGGAGTTCAGTAGTTGAATCCTAGTTAAAATTGCACATTTTGTAACTGTGGTTGGTCTGCATTCTCTCAAGACTGATTTTATTTTTGCAGTTTCAAAATTGATGTTCCTAAAATGAAATATAGTTGGTTTCAATCATAGAATAATGTACTTATATTCAAAAATAATAGAGACATAGTATGTTTTGGTATATTTTGATAAAGGTGAATTATTGCAGAAAACTACAATTCTGTAAGTAATAATAATTTACTATATTTATGTACATATATTTACACATGGCTCATAAAACCATTAAATGTTCTTACAACCAGCCTTAATAATAACCAGACTTTTATCATATTTCCTGATGGTGATTTAAAGTATTTACCTTTAAATACATAATAAATTTATGTATTACAGTAAGTAAATGGAAGTCGAGGTCATCATTATCATCGCTCAAATTGTCTACAGAATGATCATCACTTACCTCTTCACTACAGTCAGAATCTGTATCATCAGAATCACTGCTGGCAAGATCATCTACATCAGGTAGGTTCTTGCAATTTAAACAAGAACAGCCAGGACCACAGTGCTTCTTGCGTTTATTACAGGCGCATCTACCAGTTTTGCAGCCTGTTTTGCACTTGCAGCCATTTTTAAGCTAATCTAACTGATTCACTTTACAATTAATCTATTTTCATCAGAGTCCCATATTACTTCTACTTTACCTTAGTCTGTCTGGCTGATTCCATACTTCATAACATCAGGAATCACTACTACATGTTTACTTGCCTGCAACTAGACTAAAGCCACCCAACATGATCTCAACCAATGGTAATTTAAGGCATCAACTGTTGGCATCCATTGGTCTTCATTTGTGATACGATGGAATATCCTTTCCCTAATGTGTGTGTCTAGGTCGCTCAAGAAAATGATGTGTTGTGTCGAAAATACTAGCATTTGTGCCACGATAACCACCTTTCAGTAGCAGATCCTTAAAGTGCTAATGTTACGGTTTGCTCTAATTTAGTACTTTCTGACATCAAACTCTAGAAAAACTCTAATACTTCGGTTGTATAAGTATTTTAGGGGAACCTGGCAGTGTCAAAATAAAATAATTTCGAAATTCAGATGCGATTTGGAAGAAACAAAATTGCACATCTTCGCTAAGGTGTGTGACGTCACACCCAGAACAAAGATACAGCCTCGTCTTGGGATCGGAGTGAATACATCATTAGCATACTGTCTAGAGCTGGAGACGGATGCAGAAACTAGCCTACTTGTTATTCAATCTGTAGGCCTATGTATTGTTCGTCTCATATAGTAGAAAGAATGGATACAGACACAGAAAGTACAACCTCAGGCTCTGATATTTCTGCAAGCGATGAGGGAGAAATTATTTTAAATATAGAGCCATATAATTTTGAGCCACAATTTGAAGAAGAGGAATTGACCGCCATGGAAAACGCAGCCGTAGGAGGAGATGATGCTGACAGACCCTCTCGACTAGATAAT